AATTGCAATTTTTGGGTGGGTGAACTATACTTTTAATAATTTATTTTACTTTGTAAAAGGTGTCATTAAACATGTTTGAAATGTGTTCTTATTGCATTTACAGCATTTTGACCAGCAGGTGTCTCCACATGTGTTGTGTAGAGCGCTTTAAAACAGCCACATTTAAATTCAGAGTTTGGAAGAGCTCTGTTCCTCTCATCACTACTTATATGTAAAAGATGAGATTGACACATTCTGATTTACAAGTATCAGTATTTCTGCAAAATCATTTGCAGTCAGACCTGCTGTTTAGCCAAATCAACAACCTCAGTTTAGGTGACTTACTCAAGTTCAACCAGACATTAATAATCAACCAGTCATCATCAGAAGGCAACATACATAAATAGGGTCTTTCCCAAAACCAACACATGCAATCTCTGCATTTGAGCATTGGTCAAATCACAGAGCTTTATTTACACATTTTGATTTTTAAAAGTTTGCACTTTAAAACAAACTTTTAAATGTCAGCTCAACAGACCACACAATTGAGTAATTGTCATGCTTCTAATTAAGTGATAAAAAGCAGCTACCAAATTAAATATAAATATTTAAATAATTTTACGCACACTGTTTTTCTTGACATCTCTTGATTGTCAAGAGACAATCTTGTCTGGACAAGATTTTTTTGTGGTATTGTGGGTATTGGGACAGACCCATAAACAACAGTTAAGAAGAACCACCTTCCTCCACCTCCAGATGACACACTCATCCTCATGGGTGGACCTTCTCCTATGATTCTGTTTGCCTGCAAACCTGTATTTCTTGATTCTGGTCCAACACTGCACATTTTACTTTAAAATGTACAATTTTACTTTAAAATTTTATTGCCAACGCATTTTCAGAAAGCTACATGAACTGATCTGAGTCTATCGGATTAGAGAGACAAACTAAATGTGCAGCACTGTGGGTCCCAGGACTGGAGTTGAGCGCTACAAACAGTCATCATTGTAGATCCATTCCAGCAGAAGTCATCTAAAATAAATGAAAGGAAAAAAACCCAAGAGGTTAATGACCAAATGTTGCATTGCTTCGATTCAGCACTAAGCGCATGATTCCATACATGCTGTATTCAGTGAGTAAAAACAAACCTATATGCCCTATTTAATGTAAGACTAATCATTTATTTGTCTTGTAAGACAATGTATTATATGCAAGACAAATAACTTATTCCCTATTGTTTTACCTGGTCAAACTGAAACCATAAAACTCACTGTCCAGATACTCCTCAAGGGGGAGCTGGTGAATATCTGATCCTGCAGCTATAAATATTTTAATAAAATACGCAATTAGACACCATTATAGACATTATATCAGTCATTATCTTACAGATTATATATGTCAACAGTCATTTTAATACTGGCTTTAAAATAATTTGTTAAAATCTGTATTACAATCAAGCTTTATTATAAAAGCTGCTCGAGTTTGTAAACAACGAGACTGACCAACAACACATTGAAATCATTGTTTAACTGTGAACAGACATGATACACATTCATTTAAATCAATCAGAACAAATACATCTACTTCACCAAACTAATAGAGTCTCGGAGAATCGTTTGTTCTATATTTAATGTGTGTTTACACTTTGACCATGTGCTTTTGAGTTCAGCACTTCATCTGTTTTACCTCATCAGTTGAGAGCTTGATCTGGGCTATCTAAACTAGTAGATCCATGTTAATCTGCTGGTCGAGACACTAATAAAATCATGTTTTTGTTGTAAAATAAATGAAGTTTAAATCACAGACAGAGCTTTTATCTGCGACTAAAACTAGAAACTGAAATGTAATTTTCAATCCGCGCCACTAGGCGGCGTAAGCGGCTTTACGCTCAGTTTGACAGTTTGCTTGACAACATGACGCTTGTTCAAACAACACGTGCAGACCGTTTTAAACACATCTTATGCAGATGACAGCTCAGTGACAATATCTTAATGTCACTAAACAACACATATTTCAGCTCTTCGACAAATAAAGCCGACGCGTAATGCGATAAAGAGCGTCACGCTTCTCACCTGTAAGTACTTTCATCATACTCTTCACTTCTCTAGCAGTATTCTCATTTAGTCCTTTTTTATTTGTAAGTCATTATTTCGATGGTGTCTTTAACTTAAAATCTACTGTTTAACTTAAAATCTACTGTTTAAAATAGCTACTTGCTTAGGAAGGTTTATGAAGCTTCTATGAAAGTGTATCAGTCTTTGTTTACATGCTGCTCTCTGAACTCTCTGTTAGACCATTCAAATAACGAACAAATAGCCTTCTAATATTCATATTGTGAAATAGGAATCGTGTGTTATTCTGTGTTGTTGTAGTCTTGCTCTAGGCAATAATCTGCTGTTAACTACTGACCTGTTATTGTTCATGTTTTACTTTATTAATTGTTTATGATGAACTAAAAACTGACCATAACCTTTCAAGATCAAAATAATGTAAATATTCCAGAGAACCAACAAACTTTTGTTTTGTTTTGTCAACAGTCATACTGAAAGAGAGTTTTCTATTCAGTGTTCTTATACTTTTGTGACATGTAAAACAGTAATTTAATTCTGTCATCGGAACTAAACTGAGAAGAACAGTAGATTGAACCAAAATGATTACTGATACAGCAGTATTTAAGTATAATATGCTTTGCATTAATTTTTCACACTATATAGCTTTAATTTCATATGTAGACAATACCTGTCTTTATTGTATTACTGTGTCTTATTTTGTATACGTTTCCCCTACAGAATAAGAGATGTGTTTGGACCACACAGAGCTCTGGGACGTGTGGACAGACATTCGCTGTAATGAAGGACATCTGCTCATGGACAGGTGAGACTTATTACTTGTGTTTGTGTTTTATTGTGTACTTGGCATGTAGGTTACCATCATTTTCTTTTTGGAGGCTCACTCTTCTAGAAAGCAAATGATGGTAACCTAAATGGGTGGGGAAGGGACGGGGGTTCAAAATTTGTATACAGCTTAATTTTTTTTTTAATATCAAGAAGCATAACTGCTGCTGGACATCGCTCTGGGACTCAGGGGGGGACCTGAATCATCCTCACCCCTTCATTCACACAACACTCACTCATATCGCAGAGATCTGGCTGGGATCGAACCAGCAACCTCTGAACCTTGAGGCAGCACTCTTACCTGTGAGCCACAGATCCCTTATCTGGATATGTGAAATAACTTATAATTCACTATTCATCTGTATGGGACAATGGCTTTAACAATAAACCAGATAATGACAGCATCATCCCAACGTGTTGAGGTGGGGCTTGAACCCACATCTCCAGCTCAACCTCATTCACAACAAATGTATGTTCAGCCACTTGCGCCATCATGGCTTTCATGCTGAACACTGGTGTTTGGGGCACTTTTTTTGCACATGACAACACGACATAACAAACATAAGCAATAGTGGGATTCGAACTCAGGTCACTATGTAAAAGCCCAATGCTTTATCTCCTGAGCAGCTGATTCTGTTTTCTTGAGGAGTGTTGTGGATCGAGTTTTATTAAGAGCTTTGTTTTATTTGACACAAAACTTAAGCAACTGTGGGATTTGAACCCAGGCTTTTATATTTGAAGGGAACTGCTTATCCTCTTTTCCACAGAGTTTGCAATGAAGCAAGGCTTCTTTTAGATAGGTTAAGATAGGTAAATAATTACTGCAATTTTGTGATTTGAACAGGTCTCTGCTATAGATTTGTTCTTTTAAGACCTGCATTTAAAAAACGGCATCATGGCTGGCATGTAAAACTGCATGATTTGTTGTTGTAATATTTGGTACATGGAAATATTAAGAAATGTGGCATTTGATCCCAGACTTAAAAGCAAAAAATCTGAAAAGCAAAAATGTAGTCTCTGAACTAGAGGTATTGATAATAGGGAATTGCTGTTTATTTTCAATAATATGAGCTTAGACTTTTGTTTTTCAAGCTTTGCCAGTTTTACTAACATAAATCATTTAATTTCTAGCAGAATAACGATGTACGGGACTTTTTGGACATTTATTGACATTGGACTCAAACCTGTATCGTCAAGCGCCAACAGCTCTTATAAATGTATTAAAGATACACACACAGCTCACTCTAAAAAAAAAAGGACTAATGCATGTGCTCATGATTTTTACATCCTAAATTTGCGTCCTTTCAGCTAAAAAAAGTAATTTATTCACAGCTGGAGGATCCCATGGGATTTATCAATGCTCATCTCAACTTGATCAACTCATTCTAAGCTTGAGCCTCATAGCAGGACTTTATGAGATTTTACAGGGGAAGACGCTGATATCAATGGAGTCATGAGTGGTATATATTGTATTAAATAAGATGTTATGGCACAAGTGATAAAAGTATTATTCTAATCAGTTTATAAAATCATAGTCATACCAAAATAAAAGTCTCCAATTAACATTAATGACACAACTTTGAGATTTTTTATTTTAAATTTTTATTTTGTACAACAGAGAAAAAGTTTATGAAAATCAATCAACCCCCCTCTCTGAAAACATAATTTAGATAGTGGTTTATTTGTATGCAAAATATCACAATGCAAATAATAATAATACAAAAAGAACACTTATTTTAAATATTACAGTAACTTAAATTTCTTATAAACATTTTGTTTAATCCATCTTGCTTATTTGATTGTGTCATTCATAGGCTCTACAGGCATGTGGCAGGTTAAATTGGCAGATCAGGTGACCTGCCTCTTTTGCAAGTGGGTGTCATTTTATAACATGAAACTCTATTGCTGCTAACCATAAAACTAGTATCCACCCATCTAATTCTTTTCCAGTCCTAATATGAATGTGCCACAGATCTATTCAACATATTCAACAAAGATGTGCTTCTGGGTTACAAAATGCAGTTTGTTTTTAGTAAATGTCAAGATCAGTGCAAGTATCTGGTGAGTACGGCACAGCTGAGACCGTAGAAACACTTTCTAGGGCACTGGAATGTGTGCTGCACTAAACGTGTAAGAAAAGCTTTCAGATGGAACAATACACGTCTTCAAGGGTTATAAAATCACCCTCTGGAAAAGTTCCCTCAGTCTTTTTGTGTTTGTACACCATTTTTCAATCCTGCTGCCAGGTTACTGCCCCCTTTAAAAGCATCTGGATGACTTCAACAAGGCTAAAATTTAGACAACCTCTGACCTGAAAACCTAGATTATATATAAGATTCACATGCAGTGCAGAAACATATTGTCTACATAAATGGCAGATATCTGAGAGAGTTGTCTGATATTGAGAGATTACGTTGCTGTACAAATCTGGGCATATAATAGAGTTCTCCAGAGTGGAAGGAGGTCAAGGGGCAGGTGTACATTGTCCACAGGCTGGGGGTAAAACGACGGGTCAGTGCATCGGCCAACCTTAAGCGCAGGTTGCAGCTCGAGCACACTATGTGGTTTGGGCAGCAGGACTGCGAGGCAGTCTTCTTGGGTTGATTTGAGGAGGAATGATTTTTGGAGGTTGGAGGCAGGGCCAAAGCAGGTCTTTTGATGGCACTTCGTTCTCCGAGGCGGTCCAGGGATCTTCTCAACTGTTGCTGTGCACCTTGTACCCCAGCCAGCTCCCGCTGATACTGCACATCCAGCGCATGTAGGGTCCTTTCAAGCTGCAGGCTCTGACGCCTCTGAGCGTTAGCCAGGGAACGCTCTGAGATTGACATGAAATATCAACAAAAGGGTTTGAATAAACTAGCCCTTATTGGACTTAATGGAAATAGAAAATAATACAGTAATTGATTAATTAGTATATTAATTTTTATTGATACCTCGTTCATTGTGTCTTTTCCTTCTTGACAGAGAGATGAAATTGGACATGCCACGCTCGTATGGAAGAGATGAAGATATGCAGGATCCAGTGACAAATCCTGAAAAGTTGAAACTCACATCATATTTTTACCTGTTATATAAAGTGAACAGTGTAGCACTAAATGCACAGCTTTCAGGGGGGGAAATATGTATATACTACATTTATATTTTTTTAGGTTTACATATACAAATCACAAATATATCAGACACTAATATGGAAATTTTGGAAAATTGTTAACAAGAAAATAATACATTAATGCATTTACTCACCCATGGATGTTGCAACAAGCATTTACTGTCTAGAAGCAACCAAATATAATATCCCACCAAGACGATTTTTGTGAATACACAAACTTTTCCTCTCTTTTTCAATCTAAAGATAGGAAAAAATGCTTCCGAAAGTCTGTTAGGTAACCTAACTTTTATAAAGCGACAGTATCTCTTCTGTTCTGAAGGATCGAAACAAAAGACTTGGAGGGGCCAAGTAAGAAAAGAGTGGGCCGAGCTAGTGAGAGAAAGGCAACTCCTCAACTTTACAAAATAATACAGAAAATAAAAGTAAAAAAAAAAAATCTACTTTGCAAGCCAAAAAACTAGTATAATCATAAATATATCTTTAAAATCAGTGGTAAATGTTACAGCCTTTTTAAAGCAAACTGTGCTTCACATTGAATTTCAAATAAAATGTAAATAAAAGCACAAAAAACATTAGCCAGTTTTCATGCACTTCTTTAATATATCAGTTTTTCATATTCACAACAAATACATTAAGCTCTTTTCCTTTTATATAATACAGTCTTAAATATTTTTACACAGAAATATTTTCTCAGAATTTCATCTATCAAAATGTCTTTTCTTAACCTTTGTTAAGTTGAAACACTTGAAGTCATTTAATTATTTTTTATCTCCATGCCTCCTAGCAAACAGACAGTACTTCCTTTGTACAGCTATTTACAGATGAAAAGAGTCTCCCAAACATTTGTATGATAGTTCCTCACTTGAATGAACT